GTAAAAATACCCAAGAGCATCTGCTTTGTTATCCACCCTAGGTCTTCATGAAATGATACTCAAAATAAATGAATAAATAAACAAATAAATAATTTTTTTAAAAAAAGTTCACATAACTGCTATAATCTCCAGTAATATTTGGCCATTATTGACTCTAATTTTTAAAGCTGATACAGGATGAGGATAATAATAATGAGGTAGGTTAATCAAGCTTCTGAGACATCATCTGATGACAGTCAAGGTTCAATTTCCTAACTTTACAGTCTTCTTTATTTATCTGAAAATAGAATCTGGATTCATGGGGGGAAACACACAAACTCCAAGAACATATATTTGTTTGGAATGAATCAAGGTGTTTGATTTCCCCTCTGAAAGATCCACAAGCATCATGACAAAATAAACATAGGCTAGCTGGGACCCACTGGCAACTTCTTTCTGTTTGGTTAGTCATTTCTCTTGTTGGCCCACTTTTATTGCTTTATTTTTTATTTTCTCTGGATATCCTCATTATTCAAGAAAATGTAATAAAACCTTTGTTTTCCTGAAAACAGTCTTTTCCTTCACTTGCGACAACACCTGAGGGTTCTTCAAATATTCCAAAAGGAAAACTTACAGCCCAGTAGAATTCTCAGCTCACTCATCCCAGCAACACACAGTACCTGCATAAGACAATTATTTCCCAGTATAAATTAGATCCCACAGTTCATGTACCACAGCATGCCTAATGAAGCAAAACAGTCAACATGGCCAAAGAAAACCCCATGTGGCAAGGTGCCAGAAACAGGGTTCTACATAATCCCTCTTTACAATTCACTGAGAACATATGAGTATAAGCAGTTTCCTGTTTCTCAAGCACAAAGTAAACAAAACTGAAACATTAAATTCTATAAATTTCATAAAAGTGAAAAGTTGTATCATAACCTAATAGAGTCAACCAAAAAGAGGAGTTCAAAGGAATATGACTGTATTTGTTTTTTTCAGCTATCAAGGATTGAAAGTAGTACCCATATAAATGGCTGGATATATACCTTTTAAAAAGAGTGCTCTTTGAAATGATTATTAATTGATTCTGTACTGATTTGAGCTCTAGGTTAAGATACATAATGATAGACTAAAGCTGAAATAGCATGTATAGTTTACATAGATTACTCATCTGTAAAATGTAACATAAAGGGAGAAGAAACAAGAAAGAAGTAGCAAGAGTAAAGAAATGCTAAGAAATATTAATAAAAATGAGACAAAATATTTTACTATTGCTGACTAAGCTTTTGGGCTTGGGGCTTCAGGTTTTGTTAAACTAATAATTCAATGGCAGGTTACAACATCTGTGTATTGCCATTTTCCCAATTCACAGGGAATCATAAACTAGTTGCCTTCAACAGCATTATTAAGTCAGCTTGGGCTGCCATAACAAAATACCATCAACTGGGTGATTTAACTAACAGAAATTGATTTTCTCACAGTTTGGGGACTGGGAAGTCCAAGATCAAGCTATGGACCTACTGGGTTCTTGTAAGTTCTCTTCCTGACTTGCAGAAAGCCAACTTCTTGCTGTCCTCATGTGCCACAGAAAAGAGGAAAGCAAGCTCTCCAGTATCTGTTCTTATAAGGGCACTAATCCCATCATGCAGGCCTCATCCTCATGACCTCTTCTAAACTTAATTGCCTCCTAAACTCTCCATCTCCGAATATCATCACATTGAAGGTTAGAACTTCAACATATGAATTGGGGTGGGGGAATGTAATTCAGTCTATAGGAAGCAGCAATACTTCATCGTTCCCCCCACAAACACATACACAGACATGCTCACAGGCACAGCTTTAGGAGAGGGCACTAGAACTGATCGGCCCTACTATCACCTCCCAGCAAGATAAGTAGGCCCTTACCTTCCTTCTCCTGTCCTTACAGTTGTCCTGGAATGCTGCAAGGGTGCATGTTGGAGGGGATTGTGGAAGATCTTGAAGCACAGATGGATAACACTCCATCTGGTCAGTCATTAAAAAGCACTAAAGATCATTGAGTGAAAATGTATACACAGGACATAGATGGGAAAAACAGCCAGTCTACTTAGTTCCTGGGCACAAAAAATGGACAATATTTGATGGCATAAGGAAATAATCAGAAATGCACACAAAGAATTATATACCAGGATGTTCACAGAAGCATTATTTAAAGTTGCAGAACAAGCCAAAAAAAACTGGATTAAAACCAAATAGCCTAAAATAAGAGATGGTTAAATAAGATGGACTATTAAATACCATGTTTTCAGAATGTATTTAGTTAAATGAAAAAATGCATAATACACTGAAAAGTTAAAAAACATGTACAGCTACATATACAGACTGTTTTAAATCAGTGGCAGAAGTGCTATGTTCAAAATGAGCTGAGACTTGTGAAAAATATTAGGACAATATAAAGTATTTTTCCATCATATTTTAGGCAATAAGGAAAGAAAGCAGGAAAGGAAGTACCCTGCTGCTTGCGAAAGACAGGAGTTTGCACAAAGACAATAGAACTTCTTTTTCTTCAGCAAGGAAAATGAACTTCAATTTCTAAAAGTAGAATATACAATGAAAATATACAAATTCCAACCGAAAATGGTGAAGGCTAGTCTCTATGTTAGATAAAGATAAAAATTATGTCTGTTTTTGTGTACCATCATCTATAATACCAGGCACATTGGCACATAGTAGTGTCTCAGTTAAAATGGTGACAAATGAATATAGAATGAATACATAATCCAAAATATCAGAAGTGGTGGTTACCAAGGGCTGGTGGGTAGGGGAGTGGGACATAATGGTCAAAGGATACAAACTTCATGTTATAAGATTAAGAAGTTTTGGGGAGCTAATGTACTTCATGGTTAATTATAGTAATAACACTATAGTATGTACTTGAAAACTGCTAAGAGAGTAGATCTTAAATGTTACCATAACAAAAAATAAATGGTAATCATGTGACAGGATGGAGGTGTTAGTCAATGTGATGGCAGTAATCATTTTACAATATAGAAGTGTAATAAATCAACACACTGTACACCTTACACTTATACAGTGTTATATGTCAATTATATCTCAATAAAGATGGAAAATAATTTTAATAAATTTTTTCAAAAAGAAGGATTAAGGATTTTAAAAGATTCAAATTCCTGAAAAAATGTACAGAGATGTCCTTAAAGTACACGCAGATAAGTTTCAAAAAGGCAATGATTCTCTTCAGTGATTTCAGAAGAGTGTAGAGATATTCCAGTAATTGATCCTGAAAAGAGAAGATTGATATATTTGATACATTTAATCCTGATACTTAAGGAGATTTTAGAGCAAATTACTGTACAGATGATTGGCAGGAAAAGAATGTGATACTTAATGTCGAAATAATTTCATATCCTTTGATCCATGTATGACCTAATAGAATTCAACCTCTGCTGGAAATTGTCTTTTACTGTTAGGAAATTGTTTTTACTGTTTTAAAAACAAAACAAAAGAAAAACAGGGAGTCATGGGAGATTTTTTGAACAGGGAAAACTTCTCTTTGAGATTAATCAATTCTCTAACAGACTAGAAATGAAGAGACTGGAGACCTCAAGATCAAGCATATGACAAACAAATAATTCTAATCAAAAGCAATAATAGAATAAAAAAATAAAGTTGAAATGAAAATAGAGGGTGTTGAGAATAGAGATGTAAAGAGGAAACCAGAGGTACAACTGACAAACCTAGCTGGAAGATAGGACGTGGAGAACATCACAGATTATGCCAATATTTCAAACTGGATGGCTAAGTGAATGGTTGTGCCATGACTAGAGAGGTCAGGAGGAGCATACAGCAAGGTGATGCTTACTTCAATTATTGCTCCATGTATCTTTGAACTCTCTGGCAAAGGGTGCAGTGAGATTATGGAAACACCTGCCTGGAGAAGTGAACATGCACATCTGAGAGCCCTGTGCCCAGGGTGGGAACAGATCCCCTGGGGCCAAGGCCCCTCCGCTGGGCACAAAGCCCTGTTGTGCTGAAACTGACACCGGGAGTCATGAGTCTCCCTCTTCTACCAAAAGCGTTAGTCCATTTGGTTTTGAGTGTAGTTCACTCTTACTGTTTCCTCTTATCCTACTGTTCAGCATTTACTAAAGACCCATCAGCAAATACAGCAGTTTCTCTCTCCAGATTTCCATATAATGAAACATTTTTAAGCTTCTATTCTCAGCATTCTCTATGTAAGAATAACAGAAAGGAGTACTGTACAAATATTTCTATCTGAAATAGTAAAAAATAAAGTTAGGTTCAGCACTTAAATGTCTATGCTTCAATTATCTGGGAAATTTACTGACTGACGTGGAGCAACTCTTTCTTGGGCAATGCTGGGAAAATGAGGTGTCACAGTATTGGTTAAGCAATATTAAAGCACAGATTATAAACAGACAAAGAAATGATTAAGAGGTAATTTTGGTTTCCTTTTCAGTAAGGGGGACCAGAGAAATTTTTTAAAATAATAACCATCAAGTACAGTAATGGCAAACACTCTGAAAATATTAAGTGTTGCAAGCCATTTATTATGTCTATTACATCTTAGGGAAGATAATCAGTCAACATTGCAATCTTAAATATAAACTTGCAGAGTGCTAAATCCTCTTCCAAACTAAACTTCAAAACCCTCAAAGATGACTGTCTATAATAAACAAGACAAAGTAGTTTACTTATGGCCCAAAGCTAGACTTTGAAGTTCACTTTTAAAGAACATATTTGGAAGGAGTTCTCAAAAAGAATGTTATTTATGAGAATGAAAGGAAATATTAAATCCTTTTTAATTTTATTTTTCAATCTCTCTGAGAAATGCTTTAATGCAATTTTCATATGATTCATATCACCCTTTTAAAAAACAGCAACAAAACCTTTTTTTATATATTAACAATTCAAAAAATCTATAATCCCACAATCTATGTCCATTTCAAAATCATAACACCATCATGATTGTAAGGATGCCATTATTTTACCACAGAGAAAGGGAAAAACACTGCTCTGCAAGTTATGACACAATATTTCCTAAAACTCAGATCTTTCACTACATTCTTATTCAAAGGGTTATTTATTGAGGTATAGTTTTTACCTTATGTCATTTTCGGGCTTATGTAAAAATATATGCAAATATAAAATATAAGCAAAACGAGTTGGTTAAGGTATTTCTAAAGCTTACTCACACTCCAAGTTCAAACTGTCAAAATATTTCACCTGAAATTATGGATGATCATGTCCCCCCAGTACTATCATCTATGCCATTAAGAGTGCTGGTGATGCAATACTGTCTCTCAAATTTTATTCCAAATTGCTGACAACTCATTCAGCAAGTTTTCATTCAGGTAGACAAGCAATAATAACTGCATCAGGACTACCACAAGACACCACCTGTTTCCAGATATGTTAAAATGTGAAGAAAAAAAATGTTAATGTTAGAATCTTTGAACTATATCTTAAGAGCTAAGATATAAAGAAATTTGATCTACAGCTCTAGTGTCTTAAAGGCGTCTTGGAATTTCTTCCCTATTTACCTGAGTTTATAAATCTGGAATTTGACAAAGTGGAAACTCCACTTTAAAGGGTTAATTTAGAGGCTTAAGAAAGAAAATAGCAGCCTTTCTTCTGCTTCTTTAACGGTAGCGATGAGGTTAACATCGACAAAGCAACCAGCACTGCTATCTTCAAGCTGCAGCAGAACCATTACTATATTTGTACTACATCTTAGGAGACAATTAAGTTTACATGGAACTGAACCCATCCTATTCCCACATTCCCTTGATTTTTTTTAAGAGTCCTTGCTTCTCAGAGATTATAAGTAAATCTAAGAGACATCACTTTTTTTTGGAGAAAATATTGTCTTCTCATTTCAAGTTTATATAGTGATTTCAGGAAATTAGGTTCAAATTTTCTGGGTCTATAAACAATGAGTCAAGCACATACTCTTGAAGTAAACATCCTAGAAGTCAGACTATTATGATACATATGATTAAGGCATTGTTATGCTCACTTTTGGAAATTTATACTCAAACTAGAGAAAATCAGCTACAAGATGAACCTAAACAAATATTATGCCTGAATATATTATGTACACTGAAATTTTTGTTTTTGAGCTTTCACAGCAGTAATGACTCAGATCAGCTTTGAGATTATTTTTTACTTACCAAAAATCCCACAGAGTAGGAAATGCAGGAATAGTGAAATGTTTTCTAGAATTTAAATGTAAAGTACACTTAAATACTAAATTCTGATCTATGTGTCACTGGGAAAGTCACATAATTTGAGACTAGATTTTGAGGTAGACAGATTAGGGGGAAAAACAGCAAAGGATATGTTTTACTAGATGCTTTTCTTCATGCATATATTTAAGACTTAAGTATTATCAACCTTCAATTAAAAGCATGAAGGAAAAGCAACCTTAAATGGATCAACTGAAAATAAAAAGAATTACAAGAACTACAAACGCTAAAAATAAAACTACATTAAAGTGTGCCTTTTTCAAACAGGAAAAGAGATTTGCTAGAGGTGATATTCAAAGTATTTAATAGCTGCTGGGCACAGGCACAGATCAATGAGAACAGCATTGCTATAAACAACCAGATTAATCTTTACCAGTGCTTCCAACTGGATAACAAGTCAGCAGTCCAATGTGCTCCACAATATCCTAACATATGAAAGAAAGAAATGAAGTATCTCAGTTGCTTATTGTTTGTATACTTACAGAGGATTTTATATTTCCTTGCACTAATCAGTTAATGTGGGGGGAAACCCTGATTTTGTTTGCTTAGAAATAATTGTGCACATTTTCCATTAATTGGCAAGAGATGATATGGTGCCAGTTACTTGAATTACTAGAGGTGATAGAAAGATCTGATGGAGGGAGAAAATAGGAATTCAGAAAAATGGCAACAAATATGAAAGATGGCCAGTGAGAAATTCCTAGGTGCTGGCATAGCCAGAGGACTTTTAAGACTTTTAAGAAGTACTGTCCTGATTTAATTTGGTTTTTTTTTTTGTTCTTTGTGTATTTAATCCTCCTATATTAACCATGGAATTTAAGACACTTACATAGATAACCTTGTTGTAGTATACCTTAGGGGAACAAAAAAACCAAGGCTGAGTTTTATCCTTCAGAAAGAAACAAAGCAGAAAAAGGACAGAACCTAAAAAAAATGACAAATAGGAAATGAGAAATCTACAGGAGCAGGAACTTGGAGCAGATGAGAAACTGTACTACCACCAACCAAGAAATCAATAGAAATAGTGGACAAAGGGTATGCTTCTCACAGTGCTTCATGGGAGTCAATTTATCCCATTTGGATGCATACCAAAAAAAAAGTATGTAACACCAGAAAGCTGGAGTACTTGGGGCATCTTTGTTTTACTATATACTTTATATAATAATGCTTAGTTATTTTACTCCTCAGTGTGAAAAAATCAGAAACACATACTTTAGAAGAGATACAGACTTACGAGCTATTGGTATATAAGCTGCTTTTCTTATTTTCTATTCTTTTAGAAATATACACTTCTAAATTACTCTTATCTTTGACTAAATGTTTTCTGCCAGGTTTCATGGCAGCATTTGAAAATATTAAATGTTTCTATCCAATAAACTAAAAAAAAACTATCTCAGCCTAAAAAATATAGTCAAATCAAACAATCAGTATTATTCTCACTCAAATGCATGGATAGACTGTCAAATATCTACAGACCATTTGGATGGAAATACAGAAAAAGAACATTCTTGATGTCAGTTAAGCATAATCATGCATATGGACCATAACTGACACTGAAACCAATTTCTTTGTCAATGTTTGTATAGGAGATGGCTTGGAAAAGGGCCAACTTTTTAAGGCCCACCTGTGTCAAATCAGACCCTGGGAACTTGTCTAGAGGAAGGAATTCATGATGCAGATAAATTTTTTATTTACTTCTTGGAATTCTATTCTGTGTCTAAATATCTGACATAAAAATTCCTAGAATATTGCTTTTTAGAATATTTGAGTGAAGTAAGCAAGTTAGACAAAACAAAAGGTTTAGGAACATTATGAATATGCACATCAGATAGCAATCCTTGATTTTTGAGAGGTAACATATTTGCCAATAAAATAGCCCAGAATGCAAGAATTAAGTAGAACAAATAAAGAACAGATATTAAATAGAACAAAGCTGAAGAGCTGCAGAGTCATAAATATAACTCTAATCATTGCTGTTTCAGGGGAAAGGCTATAAACATTCTCAAAATAGAAAACAAACTAGATTTTGGTCGCTATATGGGTAGTTACAACACCGTATCCATGAAAAAGTGATACATATTCATAGGGAAGCACTTGATTTTCAACAAGTTCTTTACCTTCTTTTGCTAATCCTAAAACAATTCAATATGACAAAACTCTTAATGATAAAGACCATTTTACAATTGATGCTTTTGTATACTGATTTTTGTGTCTTGCAAACTAGCAAAATTAATTTACTAGTCTGAATAAATTTTTGTAGAATCCACTGTATTTTCTTTAGAAACAGTCTTGCCAGCTGTCAATAAAGACAGTTTTACTTCTTCCTTTCCAAACTCTGTAACTTTGAGGATTTTTTCTCCCTTTATTGCACTATCCAGAACCTACAGTATTGAATAGAAGTGGTAAAAGCAGACAACCTTCACTGGTTCATGATCTTAAGGAAGAAAATACTCTTTTGCCATGAAATATAATTTTAATTGTATGTTTTGTATTAGTCTTTATCAGGTTAAGGAAGTTCCCTTTTATTCCTAGCTTTCTGAGGGATTTTAGATTTTCAAATGTTAAACTAACCTTGCATTCCTGGATTTATCTTGGTCATGATGTATTATCACTTCTATATAATGTTGTATTTGTGTGTTTAAAATTTTGTTAAGACTTTTTGCATCCATGTTAATGATGGACATTGGTCTGTAGTTTCCTTTCATGTAATGTCTGCATCTGGTTTTAGTATCAGTGTACTTCTAGCCTCATAGAATAGTTTGGGAAGTATTCACTCCTTTTCACATTTTGGAAGGATTTACATAAAATTGGTATCATTTCCTCTTTTTTAGGTGCTTTGTAGAATTCACCAGTGAAGCATGGACATGGATTTTCTTTGTGGAAAGGTTAACTATAAATTGAATTCTTAACTATAAATTGAATTATGGGGCTATTCAGGATATCCATTTCATCTTGAATGAGCTTTGGTAGTTTTATCTTTCAAGGAATTTGTCCATATCACATAAATTATCTTAATTATTAGCATGAAATTATACACAATATTCCCTTAATGTCTTTCTTTATAGACATAACTGACATATAACATTGTACTAGTTTTATGTGTATAAAATTATTTGATATATGTATGTATCAATTACCACAAGTTTACTTAACACCCATCACCACATTTAAATATAATTTCTTCTTATGATGAGAATGTTTAGAACTACTCTTAGCAACTTTCAAATATACAATGCAGTATTGTTAACTGTAGTCAACATGTTATACATTTCATCCCAAGGACTTCCTTATTTTTTAACTAGAAGTATACCTTTTGACCAACTTTACCCATTTTGTTCCCTCATTCTCCTCACCTCCAACTCTCATTTCTTAACAACCACAAATCTGTTCTTTGTATTTATGAGTTCAGTTTTGTTTTTATCCTACATGCAACATGTGAGATCATATATTTGTCTTTCTCTGTCTGACTTATTTCACTTAGCATAATGCCCTCAAGATCCATCCATGTTGTCACAAATGGCAAGATTTCAATCTTTTTTGTGGCTGAATAATATTCTATTCTGTGTGTGTGTGTGTGTGTGTGTGTGTGTGTGTGTGCGCGTGCACACGCCACATCTTCTTTATCCATTCATCTGTTGATGGATATTTAGGTCATTTCCATATCTTGGTTACTGTAAATAATATTGCAGTGTACATGGGGGTATAAATATCTTTTCAAGTTAGTGTTAAAGAAGTAAAATTTCTGGGTCACATGGTAGTTCTATTTTTAATATTTTGAAGAACCTCCAATACTGTTTTCCCAAATGATTGAACCATTCACACCAATGCTGCACAAGAGTTCCCTTTTCTCCACATTCAACCCATACCTGTCATTTCTCGTCTTTTTAATAATACCCACTCTAACAGGTATGAGGTCATTGTGGTTTAATTCACATTCCCTGATGATTAACTTTGTTGAACACCATTTCATGTATCTATTGGCCATTTGTATGTCTTCTTCCCTATTATATTTTTAAATATCTGTGTAATTTGTGGTAATACCACCTCTCTTATATGTGATATTTTGTATTTCCTCCTTTTTTTTCCCTGATGAGTCTAACTAGAGATTTATCAGTATTGTTGGTTTTATACAGGAATGAATTAATGGTTTCATAGATTTTCTTTTTTTTTTTACTTTGTAGATTTTTATTGTTATTTTCATATTTAAGCTTCTGTTAATTTGGGGTTCATTTGTTCTTTTTCTAGTTTCTTAAGATTAAAAAAGCTTAAGTCATCGATGAATTTTCTTTTCTTAGGTCATTGATGACCTTTCTTCTTTCCTAAAATATGCATTTAGTGTGACAAATTTCTATATACCGTTTAACTGCACTCCATAGATTTTTAACTGTTGTGCTTTAAGTTGCATCCAAAAATAACTTTCTGTCCTTTTCATTTCTTCTGTGAACCATGGTTTATTTAAAACTGCTATTTAGTTTCCAGATATTGAAGATGTACCCTAGTATCTTCCCATTATTTATTTCTAACTTAATACCTTTGTGGTCAGAAAACATATTTCATATGATTTTAATCTTTAATTTTACTGAAACTTATTTTATGGCTCAGCATATGATTTACTTTTATAAATACTTCCTATACACTAGTGTATACTGCTGTTGTTAGTTGGAGAGCTGTATAAATGTCAATTAGGTTAAGTTGGTTGATAGTACTGATCAATTCTATAATCTTCCAAATATTCTGTCTTCTTTTTCTATTTAATTAGTGAAAATGGATATTGAAATCTGTAAGTATTAATTGTGCAGTATAAGTATAATTTCCCTACAGTCCTGTTAATTTTTGTTTTATGAATCTGGAAGTTCTGTTAAGTACATCAATATTTATAATTGTGTGCTGGTGGTACCAAGAAGTAGGGTGCTGCTATAAGAAATACCAAAAAAATGTGGAAGTGGCTTTAGAACTGGTTGAATATCATGGTAGTTACAGAATATCTCATACCTATGCCCATCCAAATTTTTTTTTTTCTTTTGGTATCATTAATCTACAATTACATGAGGAACATTATGCTTACTAGACTCCCCCCATCACCAAGTCCCCCCCACATACCCCATTACAGTCCCTGTCCATCAGCATAGTAGGATGCTATAGAATCAACAACACATATTTTCTATCACACAGTACCTGTGCATCAATAGTCTGGGCATGGCTTAGCTGAGTCTTCTGTTTAAGGCCTCATGAAGTTGCAGTCAAGGTGTTGGCCAAAGTTACACACAGTCCTATCTGAGGCCTTGACTGGGGAAACATCAGTTTCCAGGTTCATTCAGTTATTGGAAGAATTCAGTCTCTTGTGGTTATAACGTGGGCTTCAGTTTCATTATGGCTGTTGACTTGAGTTACTCGTCATGTCAAGTTCCCAACATGGTTGATTTCTTTCTCAAAGAAGCAAGGGAGACAGAGAGAAAGATGGGTGTTGCAATCTTATGTAACATAATCATGTAATCAGGTTATCTGTAGTCATATACATCTTGCCACTTCTGCCAGATTCTATTTTTTTAGGAACATGTTAGGGTCTCAACCATACTCAGGTGGAAGGGATGACACAATGGTATGAACACCAGTGTTGGGGATCATTGAGACCACCTTAAAAGTCTGCTTGCTGTACACCCAAATATATAATAGCAAATAAAAATAGGTTAATGCTATTTAGTGACAGATACTGTGGGACTGATTCCTTGCTTCCTTCTCCACTCCAAACCTCTGTTCCTTTCTTCTGCTAACCTCCTAACTTACACATATATAGAGACCTTTAAGCCAATGACAGGAGGTGTCATTGTAGTTTCTGTGTCTGTCTGGGCCACTATCTGTACTCTTTAGCAAGTATGTGGACATCATATAAGAACTAGAAGCTTAAGGAAATGATATATACTGATCAATACTTGCTTGAGGTAAGATAGAAAATGACTTAGTAGTTCAGAGTTCTTTACATTGTAACTTAATGTGTGACCATTTATCTGGCTATTGATTGTATCTTTTTTTCACATGTGACAATTCTTTATTTTTTTATTTATTTTATTTTTTAATATTTTATTAAGGTATGATTGATATACACTCTTATGAAGGTTTCACATGAAAAAACAATGTGGTTACTACATTTACTCATATTATCAAGTCCCTACCCATATCCCAATGCAGTCACTATCCATCAGGGTAATAAGATGCCACAGATTCACTATTTGCCTTCTCTGTGCTACACTGTTTCTTCGTGATCCCCCACACCAAGTGTACTAAACATAATACCCCTCAATTCCCTTCTCCCTCCCTCCCAACCCGTCCTCCCACACTCCTCCCCTTTGGTAACCACTAGTTCCTTCTTGGAGTCTCTTAGTCTGCTGCCATTTGTTCCTTCAGTTTTGCTTCACTGTTATACTCCACAAATTAGTGAAATCATTTGGCATTTGTCTTTCTCTGCCTGGCTTATTTCACTGAGCATAATGTCCTCAAGCTCCATCCATGTTGTTGCAAATGGTAGGATTTGTTTCTTTCTTACGGCTGAATAGTATTCCATTGTGTATATGTACCATATCTTCTTTATCCATTCATCTACTGATGGACAGTTAGGTTGCTTCCATATCTTGGTTATTGTAAAAAGCACTGCAAGAAACATAGGGAGGCATATGTCTTTTTGAATATGAGAACTTGTATTCTTTGGGTAAATTCCAACAAGTGGAATTTCCGGGTCAAATGGTATTTCTAGTTTTATTTTTTTAAGGAACCTTCATATTGCTTTCCACAATGGTTGAAGTAGTTAACATTCCCACCAGCAGTGTAGGAGGGTTCCCCTTTCTCTGCATCCTCACCAGCATTTGTTGTTCTTAGTCTTTTCAATGCTGGCCTTCCTTACTGGTGTGAGGTGATATCTCACTGTGGTTTTAATTTGCATTTCCCTGATGATTAGTGATATGGAGCATCTTTTCATGTGTCTGTTGGCCATCTGAATTTCTTCTTTGGATAACTGTCTCTTCATTTCCCCTGACCATTTGTTAACCAGGTTATTTGCTTTTTGGATGTTGAGCATGTAAGTTCTTTATATATTTTGGATGTTAACCTCTTGTCTGATATGTCACTTATATATTCTCCAATACTGTAGGATGCCTTTTTGTTTTGTTGATGATGTGCTTTGCCATACAAAAACTTTTTAGTTTGAGGTAGTCCCGTGAGTTTATTTTTGCTTTTGTTTCCCTTTCTCGAGGAGATGTGTTCAGGAAGAAGTTGCTCATGCTTATATTCAGGAGATGTTTGCCTATGTTGTCTTCTAAGAGTTTTATGGTTTCATGATTTACATTCAAGTCTTTAATGCATTTCAAGTTTACTTCTGTGTATGGGGTTAGACAATAATCCAGCTTCATTCTCTTGCATGTAGCTGTCCAGTTTTGCCAACACCAGCTCTTGAAGAGGCTGTCATTTCCCCATTGTATGTCCATGGCTCTTTTATCATATATTAATTGACCATGTATGGCTGGGTTTATATCACAGCTCTCTAGTCTGTTCACTGGTCTATGGGTCTGTTCTTGTGCCAGTACCAAATTGTCTTGACTACTATGGCTTTGTAGTAGAGCTTGAAGTTCGGAGGTGTAATCGCCATAGCTTTATTCTTCCTTCTCAGGATTGCTTTGGCTATTTTGGGGTCTTTTGTGGTTCCATATGAATGTTAGCACTATTTACTCTAGTTTGTTGATTAATGCTGTTGGTATTTTGATAGGGATTGCATTGAATCTATAGATTGCTTTAGGCAGGTTGGCCATTTTGTCAATACTAATTCTTCTTATCCATGAGCACGGGATGTATTTCCATTTATTGGTTATCTTCTTTAATTTCTCTCATGAGTGTCTTGTAGTTTTCACAGTATAGCTCTTTCACTTCATCAGTTAAGTTTATTCCTAGGTATTTCATTCTGTTTGATGCAATTGTGAATGGAATTGTCTTCCTGATTTCTCTCTCTGCTAGTTCATTGTTAGTGTATAGGAATGCCACAGATTTCTGTTTATTAATTTTGTATCCTGCAACTTTTCTGAATTCAGATATTAGAACTAGTAGTTTTAGAGTGGATTCTTTAGGGTTTTTAATGTACAATATCATGTCATCTGCAAACAGGGACAGTTTAACTTCTTCATTACCAATCTGGATGCCTTTTATTTCTTTGTGTTGCCTGATTGCCTTTGCTAGGACCTCCACTGCTATGTTGAACAGAAGTGGGGAAAGTGAGCATCCTTATCTTGTTCCCAATCTTAAAGGAAAAGCTTTCGGCTTCTCTCTGTTAAGTGTAATGTTGGCTGTGGGTTTGTCATATATGGACTTTATTATGTTGAGGTACTTACCCTCTATACCCATTTTGTTGAGAGTTTTTATCATGAATGGATGTTGAATTTTGTGACATTCTTTTTCAGCATCTATGGAGATGATCATGTGGTTTTTGTCCTTTTTGTTAATGTGGTGGATGATGTTGATGGATTTTTGAATGTTGTACCATTCTTGGATCCCTAGAATAAATCCTATTTGATCATGATGGATGATCTTTTCTATGTATTTTTTGAATTCGGTTTGCTAATATTTTGTTGAGTATTTTTGCATCTATGTTTATCAGGGATATTGGTCTGTAATTTTCTTTTTTTGTGGTGTCTTTCCCTGGTTTTGGTATTAGAGTGATGCTGGCCTCATAGAATGAGTTTGAAAGTATTCCCTCCTCTTTTATCTTTAGGAAAACTTTAAGGAGAATGGGTATTAGTTATTCACTAAATGTTTGATATTATTCAGTGGTGGAGCCAGTTGATCCAGGAGTTTTGATCTTAGGAAGGTTTTTTATTACCAGTTCAATTTCATTGCTGGTAATTGGTCTGTTCTGATTTTCTGTTTCTTCCTTGGTCAACCTCGGAAGTTATACTTTTCTAGAAAGTTGTCCATTTCTTCTAGGTTGTCCAGTTTGTTAGCATATAATTGTTCTTGGTATTCTCTAATCATTATTTATATTTCTGTGGTGTCTGTAGTGATTTTTCCTTTCTCATTTCTGTTTCTGTTTATGTGAGAAGACTCTCCTTTTTTCTTTATAAGTCTGGTTAGGGGTTTATCTATTTTGTTTATTTTCTTGAAGAAACAGCTTCTGCTTTCATTGATTCTTTCTATTGTTTTATTCTTCTCAATTTTATTTATTGCTGCTCTAATCTTTATTATGTCCCTCCTTCTACTGACTTTGGGCCTCATTTGTTCTTTTTTTAGTTTCATTAATTGTGAGTTTAGACTGCTTATATGGGATTGTTCTTCTTTCTTGAGGTAGGCCTGTATTGCAATATACTTTCCTATTAGCACAGCCTTGGCCGCATCCCAGTTTTGCAGTGTTGAATTATCGCTGTCATTTGTCTCCATATATTGGTGATCTATTTTTATTTGGTCATTTATCCATTGGTTATTCAGGAGCATATTGTGAAGCCTCCATGTGTTTGTGGGATTTTTCATTTTCTTTGTGTAATTTATTTCATTTCATACCTTTGGGGTCTGAGAAACTGGTTGGTACAATTTCAATCTTTTTGAATTTACTGAAGCTCTTTTTGTGGCCTAGTATATGATCTATTCTGGAAAATGTTCCATGTGCACTTGAGCAGAATGTGTATTCTGTTGCTTTTGGGTGTAGAGTTCTGTAGATGTCTGTTAGGTCCATCTGTTCTGTTGTGTTCAGTGCCTGTGTCTCCTTACTTATCTTGTCTGGTTGATCCATCCTTCAGTGTGTGGAGTGTTGAAGTCTCCTAAAATGAATGGATTGCATTTTATTTCCCTTTTTAGTTCTGTTAGTATTTGTTTCACATATGTGGTGCTCCTATGTTTGGAGCATAGATATTTATAATGGTTATATCTTCTTGTTGGATTGACCCCTTTATCGTTATGTAATGTCCTTCTTTGTCTCTTGTGACTTTCTTTGTTTTAAAGTCTATTTTGTCTGATACAAGTACTGCAACTCCTACTTTTTTCTCTCTGTTAGTTGTATGAAAATCTTTTTCCATCCCTTCACTTTTAGTCAGTTCTCTCAATATTCTTTCATTCTTAGAGATCCTTTTTTCTCTCTGTGCCTCAGCTTCTTTGTATTCCTCTTCTCTAGTTTCTATTTCATTTATCGTCTCCTCCACCATATCCAACCTGCTTTTAATACCCTCCATTTGTGCTCTCCAACAATTGGATCTCAGACTAGAATTCATTCCTGAGTTCTTGGATATTTTTCCATCCGTCCATTAGCATGTTGACGATTTTTATTTTGAACTCCCTTTCAGGAAAAGTCATATGTCCATGTCATTTAAATCTTTCTCTGGAGTTATATTAATTTACTCTGGACCAGGTTCCACTGGTGTTTCATATTTGTATATGGCGCCCTCTAGTGTCCAGAATC